ACACACACACACACACACACACACACACACACTTATTTTGACCATAACCATAGTTACTACTTGCCTAACGTAACCCACACCTAAAACATGTCTTCACCTTAAAATGTAGTGATTTACGATAACGTAATGGTGACATGCTTTTTCATCCCGACAGTGTGAACACGTTTCACCACAATATTAATAATACCTGGACACACAATCCCCCGTAAACCCTGAACCTATCGTAGCTTTTTGTTCCCATAAGGAAGACAAAGTCCCATAATGTTGGGACTTGTAAAATGAACTTGTGAAAAATGAATACAAGAATAAAATGTTTTCAGTTTTATCTATATTGAATTATTTTAGAGTCACCGGGAAGTCAATGTAGGTCATGGAGACACAACTGTGTGTGTGTGTATGTATGTGACAGAAGGATACATGCTGGGGTCTTTGTTGCGCATCTCCAGCCACCTTTTGTTGCCGTCGATCATCCCCTGTAGCCTCTGACCATCTATCTCTACTGACTTCTGTATGGACCGCAGGCCGTGAGTGTGTTCACTGAGAGAGACACACACACACAGGTCACAGATTGTAAGTACATTTGAGAAAGAGAGGATGTGTCTATACGCTGTAATCAAGATGAAAGGTGTAATGTTACCTAACAGGAGTGTAAGATGAGTAGGCTGAGCTGGTCCTCATGGTGCTGGACGCAACTGGGTCCACAGCTGCACCTAAAGAATAGAGCCACATTTGAGGTTCAACAATCAATTACAAATGTATCGCTGCTCCATTCAATTCTAAGAAGAATGGATCATACCAGGAAAGATCTGGCTCCACCGGCTGTTGATGAGGTCCTCAGAGGCCCTCAGCCTGCTGCTGATGGGGGCGTTGTACAGGGCGTTGGCTGGAGAGCTCCCAGTCGCCCAGTTCCACGAAGGCTCCGAGAGCCTAAGGGGGGGAGGTGGGGCTAAGGAGCTGCGGCCCAGGGTGTGCATGTGGGACGTGACTGGATTAGAGGTGGGAGTGGAAGCTGGGACGGAGAGAGGCTGAGACAGAGGCAGAGTGAAGGCTGTGTAAGGTGTGGCACTCTGTGGCCACTGAGCTAATGAACCCAGTGCACTGAGAACAGTGTTGAGCTGGCCTGAGATCTGCTGCAGGGATTCTGCTAACTCTTGGACTTTGCCTGGGACTGTGGGATGACCTCCTGATGAGAGAGAGGTGTAGAGATGAGATAACAGGCCGGTCTGAAAAAATACTACTCTCTAAGGCAAGTGTATGGAACGTCACAAACCTCAGAGATCTGAATGTACATAGTGTAAATAAATGAATGCTGCTGTGTTCTACACTCAGTGACCAGTGCGTGTTACCTGTCCCGACCGGTGGGTCCGCAGTGCTGCTGAGGTCCGACTCGGTAAGATCGAAGGTCACCTTCCTCTCTCCCACCAGCCGAGACAGATCCTCTGACAGAGGCTGAAGGAAAGAAACAACAAGAGAGAATATTTTGCAGTGCGTATACTGTGACCCAGCTGGTTGTGTTCGACTGGAAATATAATAAAAAAGAATAAATACAAATTCCCATTCGTTTTAGTGATGAAGTTAAAACTCATACTTGACTTTGGTGCACATAAATTCAGCTCAGTATGTTACTAGAAGCAAAAAAATGTTGCCACAGAGAGAGCAACGTGCACTGGGCCACTGAGATGAAACACTGACAGAAAAAAAAGTTATGACTGCAGATCCAGCCAGATGTTTTCTCCTGACCTCTTCAGCGATCGAACTCTCCAGCTGCTGAAGCTGCTCCTCTTTCCTCTGCAGGAGCGAGTTCCCTCTCTGAACCGTCCGCTGCAGCTCCGCCACTTTTTGGGCTTCCTGATGAAGCGAAGGAAAAAAGCAACAGGTAATCAACTGACCCCATCTCACCATTCAGTCCGGCAATTGTCATTCTGCAAGACGTGTGCGTCACCCCCCCCCCCCACCTGCATGAGGCTTCTAATCATCTCCTCCGTCTCCCCAGTGTTATGGTTGGGGTCCTGGGAGGAGCCGGTCTGGGCTGCCCGCAGAGCTGCCTGTCTCTCCATCAGCCGGCTCGTCTCCCTCTCCAGGAAGAGTTTGGTTTTTTGGATGGAGGCGCCGTGTGAGGAGATGTAGCGTCGGAACCTGGACACAAAGAGAGGTATGAATGTAGGCCGAAGGTAGATATACACATTGACCCACACTCATAGATTCCCATTAATACAGTGTTCTCATGGACAATAAACCAGTTACTATTATATATTTTTCTATTATAAGTTCTGTTTGTCATATAAGACCTCCTCCAACCTTTAACCCCACAATCAATCATTTCTTTTAAATTTTAAATAAAGCAATAATCAAATAGTAAATGTGACCCTGTAAATACTAAATAACCACTTTTCTTTTCTATATCTCTCCTTACTCGTCCACGCTGCTCTGGCTGTCGGGTACAGGGGAGAGAGGAAGGTCATCCAGGTCCTCTACATGCAGTGATGAGTCTCTTCTGTCACTGGAGGGCGCCGTCATCTCCTTCTTTTTGACCTGCCTTGCCTCCTGTCTGAAGGTGGCGCTTGCTCCTTCACCTTGCTCCAACTCACTGGATGCACAAAGTCAAGATGGTTGACAGCTTTGTTTATTTGTTGCTACTATTGTGGACAATTCATTTAGAGAACTGCTGCTTTAGGGTGTGCAAGTCCCGTGTAGGTGAACTGTACCTGACTCTGCGGCTGAGACGGTCGCATCTCTCCTCGAGCAGCATCACCTTGCGCTCCAGTTTCTCCTTGTCCTCCTTCGTTCTCCTGCTCTCATCTCTGGCTTTGTCCCTCTCCCCTCTCAGCCTCTCCTCCTCCTCCTTTGTCTCGTCCCTCTCCTCCCTGGCTCTCTGGACGAGTTCTCGGGCATGATGTTTCTCCTCTCTCATCCTCTCCAGCTCGACCCTCAGCTGGTCTCTCTCCTGGATCAGCCGGGGTAAGGCCTGCACAGACACAGACACACACACAAGGTTGATACTCTTGATGGGGTGGTTGAGTGCATAAAATAGAGAGAAAAAGTAGGGTCTCTCACCTCTATCTGTGCGTCCACCTCCTCTTCTTCATCTTTGAGCTTCTTCCTCCTTCTCTTCAGATCTACTACCTGATAAAAAGACCTCATTATTCCACGTGCTTCAGGTAAGAGTGTCAGTGATTGATCGTACATGAAAGTGCAGGATCCAAGACCTTGATCTGCAGCGTGTCCTCCTGGCTCTTTAGCTCTTTGGCTTTCAGCTCCAACTGATCTGTCAGATCCTGCAGTTCTGACTCCTACAAGGCAGAATAAGACAGATTTATTCTTTCTGTCTTACTGAATTCTCACTGATGCAACATGGAATAATGCTTCCATTTGCAAGATTGAAAATGTATTCCAATATTTGCTTAAGACATGGAAAGGAGTGCTTTTTGAGGCAGTGGCACTTTGTAAGCGGTGTAATGTTCCCAAAGGTTCAGCATCATAAGTAAATCTGCGTGTCTGTGCTGCCTCACCTTGCGTGAGTGTGTGAGCTGCATCTTTTGCATCTGAGTATTGAGCTGCAGCCGCAGTTTCTCCAGCTGGACAGCGTGGGAAGCATGGAGACGCTCTCTGTCCTCCTGCAGAGTGGACAGCAAGCGCTCTCTCTCTGTGGTCTCCTAGAACACACACACACACATCTTTTAATTACCACGAATGGCAATCATTCCATGGACTCAGTTAGGACTCATGCTGCCGGTCTATTCTGAAAGATTTTTTTTCCACAAAGTTCAAACTAATCAAACAAAGTTTCCATTAAACAGCAAAAAAAAAACAATTTATTTCCTATATTCAGGAAGCCAAACTGTGGAAACTTCATAGCTGCTTTAAGTTAATTGATGAACACTGTATTACTGCTGCCAAGAAGGTCATGTTTTCATTACCTTGTTTGTTTGTCAGTCTGCAGAATGTCTCAAAAACAACTTAACCAATTTTGAAGACATTTTGTAGAGGGGTTGGGCATGATCCAAAGAAGAACCCATTAAAATTGAATCCTCTGTCTTATATTTTAATTTTGAGATACTGCCTGTTCATTCCAACACATCTAATTGTTCCTGTGATAGCCACTTGTACATGATAGGCACATGCATCAGCTGAGTGTAAAATGAAAAACACCTTCTGACCTCATCCAGGTAATTCTCTCTGATGTTGTTCATTTCTCTCCTGTGGTCTCCCCTCAGCTGCTCCAGCTTCCTCTCGTGATCCCGCTGCACTTCCTCCCGCACTTCCTGGAGCACGCCAGTGAGCTACACAGATGAAGACAAGGTCAGCTGACAGTACAAAATATTACGTTCTACTGATAATGTACTTATACCTAAAGCCTTAAAACCTATTCAGACAGAACTCCACATGATGATGATGTAACTCTGTCCAATGTATGTGTGTGTGTCCTCTCACCTCTCGGTGGTAGTCTGCCAGGTGCTGTTCGGGTCGTGGACTCATCATCAGCTCCCTGCCCCTATCTGTGCTTTTGACCTTTATACGGTAAATGGTGCAAACACAGAGACACACACATTTAGACGGATCATTTATTGAGCCTAAAGTCAAGTTTCACCACTTACCATCAAAATGGCTCAAGTTCCAGCTGGTTTTTATATAAATATTAGAAAGAGGAAATATTATTTCTCAGGGGGAGCAATGATTCTGTCCAGCCAATTTTATAAAATGTTAAGTAGAATAAACTAAGTCATCACACTTTTCACAACTTAATTTAAACACTGTTCACAAACTTCTGTAACACAAGATCTTGGGTCCAAAAACCCACTAACACCCATTCACATCTGGCTTTTGTCTGCAATGGGAATGATATGTTCATCATTTACTCCTGGATCAAATGACTCTGCAGTAGACGCAGAGTGGCAGACAGCCAGGTGAGAGAGCCTTGTTGACTTTTCCCTTAAAACGAGGGATCCAGGTAAAAATGTCAACCTAACATTCAGCCTAAATCAAGACACTCCATGTATCCCCTGTGACAATATTTGAATTTTGCAATTTACTGAACTTTATGACTATTGATTCCCTCTACAGGGGCAACAGCACATGCTGATATTTGTCATGCTATTTGCTCTTGTTTGCTTGTTTGTTGTTCCAAATGTTTGTGTTCACTTGTGTAGTTGATGACCATGAAATGGTTACAGTGAAATGAACCTCATGAGTCATGCAGAAAAGTATAATCAAGGCAATCGTGCCAGATGCAGAAGATAAATTTAATAAAAAACTTTATGACAAAAAGAGCCAGGTTATCATCCTCTTTCACCTCCTGTTTCAGAGAGTTCAGTCGCTCCTCCCGCTCTCCTTGGAGTCTCCTCCTCTCTGCTTCCAGCTCTTTTTCCAGCTCAGCCTTAAAGAGTTCAACATCCTGCCTCATCTGGGCTTCCAGCGTGTCACGCTCCGCTGCTCGCTCCTCCTCTAGAGTCACTCGTAAATCATTCAACATGACTTCGCTCTCCTCCCTGAGAGAGAGAGAGAGAGAGAGAGAGAGAGAGAGAGAGGGAGAGAGAGAGAGAGAGAGAGAGAGAGAGAGAGAGAGAGAGAGAGAGAGAGAGACAGTTATTTTGGGGGTTATACTGAAGGCAAACTCCTTAAAGTGCAGCTGATTTGGAAAAGGCTTTATTGTATTCAGTAGGGATTCTCAAATGTTTACAAGTGTAGTAATAATAAAACTTAAATTAGGTAATTACACAGAACAATTGGACAGTGCATGTGCAGTGGTTCTCAGACTAGGGGTGGGGACCCTTGGGGGGGGTCGCAAGATTGTCTTGTTTTGTCTGATCTGCTGTTTTGGAGCCTCTGCTCTGCAGTGCACGGTGAAACAGTGGTGCAGTGGTTAACAGTGTCAACTCGAAACACCTTCGCCCCATCTCGCCTGGATTTTCTCCAGGTAGTCGGTCTTCCACCCACAGTCCAAAGACATGCAGATTGGGGTTAGGTTAATTGGATACTCTAAATTGACTGGCGACTTGCCAACTGTCAGCTTGAATTTAGTTCCAACTCCACAAGCAAAACAGACAATTGATGGATGGACTCTACGCATTTGCAACAAAGGGGTGGTAGTTTGTCCAATTGTGACTCAGCCTCCTCGGCCAAGACTCTAATAACTCTTTTACACAAAAGTTTGTGGGTATATGCATCTTAATGGATGGTGGATGGATAATGGATGGATGGAGGGATGCTCTAGTGCACCTATGCTCTATTTGTTTTTGTGCATATTTGTTTTGTTATTGTCTGACCTGAGCTTGTGCTCCTGTTTTTCTCTCTCCCTCTGGATAGACTCTCTTGTTTCCTCCAGCATCCTGTCAGACTCCTCAGTGAGCCTGGTCTCCTCCTCTCTCCTCTTAGACAGGAGATGCTGCCGCAGAGCCCTGAGGAGACGTGTTACATACACACATTTTAGTCAAATGAAGATGTGCCCTGGTGAGACCTGACTAAAGGACCATGATTACTTAACATTTGATCACTTAAATGTGTATTTGCCTCATGTTACGCATGATAATAACCTCCTCAACAGTGGGAAGTACCGTGCAGAGTACACAATCTTTGTACGGTTAAACTCTGATACACTGAAAACCTGTTGAATTGAGTGTTGACTTATGTGATGTGACATGTGGTTTGTGGGTGGGGTGTAATCTGGAATCTGCAGTAAATGTGTGCTGAGGACCACATGCTTCCCATGCCTACCTCAGTCTTTCCTCACTCTCCTCCTTCAGATTCCTCTCCTCCTCCGCCTCTTCCCTACTCAGCTGCTCCTGGAGGAGACGCATCCTCTTCTCTTTCTCCCCCTTCTCCTCCTCTACCTCCTGATCAGTCTTTCTCCTCTCCCTTTCCTTCTCTTTTTGTTCTCTAAGACTCTTCTCCTCTACCTCCTGATCAGTCTTCCTCCTCTCNCTTTCCTTCTCTTTTTGTTCTCTAAGACTCTTCTCCTCTACCTCCTGATCAGTCTTCCTCCTCTCCCTTTCCTTCTCTTTTTGTTTTCTAAGACTCTTCTCCTCCTCTACCTCCTGATCAGTCTTTCTCCTCTCCCTTTCCTTCTCTTTTTCTTCTCTAAGACTCTTCTCCTCCNTCTAAGACTCTTCTCCTCCTCTACCTCCTGATCAGTCTTTCTCCTCTCCCTTTCCTTCTCTTTTTCTTCTCTAAGACTCTTCTCCTCCCTCTCTGTGCCCTCCTCATCCTCCTCTCTCTCTTTCTCCTCTTTGTCTTTCCTAAATCTCCAGCTTGACTCTTCATCCATTGGTTTGTCTTGGGTCTTTAAGGGGGTTTCAGCATTTCCAGGTTCGGTGTTGGATGTGCGGACCGCTCGACCTCTGGCGGTTTCAGGCCTCTGGAGTCCCAGAGAGGCTTTGGTTCGGAGCTCGCCACTTCGCTCTGAGTGGGAGGGGCTAGAGAGGGAGGGTGAAGGGCTGGACTGGTGGAGGACAAGTCTGTCAACATTGTTGGCTAAAGGGCTGCCTCTATCTTTAGATAGCATATACCTAAAAAGAGAACGAGAGGGAGAGAGAGGTGTTATAGTACTTCAAGGAAAAAGTAAATGTTAAAACATATGGCACACAAATTTTCTATGTTTTTCCATAAAGTTGTGCATATTTCTTCAACTGCAACTACTTTTGACAAAAAAGATGCACATCAAATTTTGGGTTAAAAGATTGTAAAAACTTTAAGGATGTTTTGAAGGTACACTGGCTCATCGAGCCAGACAGGTCTGTGTGTTTGAGAGAGAGTGAGCATTGCAGAGTGCAGTACATAAGCAACAGCGCACAGCTTTTATGTTAATATAAGAAGTTGACTATCACAGTGTAGGTCACTAAACACTGCACACAACTTCAAGTGCAGAGTAAAGCTGCTCACTGTGAAATATAATGTAGCAAGACAGGTGTTTTCACAAGTCTGTTACACAATCATACAATTTTCACACAATGGCTTCCCTACAGTCGGACATAAGAACACACCTCTTCAAGAGAAGGTACTTCGACCTGAAAAAAACTAAACAACAAGACACCTGTTGGCAGCTTCTGAAGCCTTCGTCTTTGCTCCCTCCTCATTCTCCTCTTTGTCTTTTGTTCCCTCACTGTAATCTTTCTCCAGTGGACTGATAGCACCAGACAGGTCGTTGATGTCCAGAACCTTCTCTGAGAGCTTTGGGAAACAAAACCAGTACATTACAGAAATAACAGCTGCATAAATGAGTGAATGAACAAATGAATGGATGGTGATGGATGGGTGTCACACTGCATGACCTAACTACCTTGACATCAATGGAGGATGAATCCACCTCAATGTTTTTATCTGTCTCAGACTCCTGCAAAAACAAACACACAAACACACTCATCCACAAGGAAACAGCTGTGAATGAATAACAAAGTGACAGAACTGCACAAGCGACACATCAAAGCGTACTGTCTTTTCAAAGAGACACAGAAACACACACAGCACGAGACAGAAGCGGTGTGTATATGTACACAAAGCCAAGGCCGATGAGATGGCGGGCAAACTGTCAAATAGATAGCCAGTGTAGAAGCAGATAGACTACCAACAACAGACTGCACTGCCAATGGGAAGAAGGATCAGAACCGTCCAACCCAGTCCTGAGGGGCTCTTATAGATTGCCCTTTGGCCAATTTATATTCCAGTGTGTGTGACGACATCCAGGCAGGGAATCAGGCAGAGGATGAGACAGCCCCTAAGGCAGTGGAGTTGGATTCTGGGATCTGCCCTGAACCCGTGCATGCTTTGAAGAGGTCAAAGCAGAGCCAGGGTGGGACTGAGTAAAATGGGAGCGGTAGTCAGCAGGCACAGAGGCAACACTGAACCCTACCTCTTCTGGAAGGAGGCATTTTTCTGACTTCAGAGTTTTTCTCTTTTGGGAGAGCGCTTTGACGTCACTCAACATCATCCTCCGGCCTAGGTCTGCCATTCGCACTTCAGTCGTTTCCGTCTTAAAAACCTCCACAACGTCCCCCTCACTCTCCGATGCTGCTGCAGATTTTTGAGCATCTGATTCACCCTCAACGTTCATCCCTTCCTCGGTTTCTCCTTCGCTCAGCGCACATTTCTCTACATTGTCCGTGTCACTCCCTGTCATGTTCAGGGAGCATCTATCCAAAGCTCCCTCGCTCTCACCAACCTCCTCCTCTTTTTCCTTCTCTGACTCTTCTTCTTTACTTTCACTCTGCCCCTCTTCATCAATTATGCTTCCCCCCAGCTCTTTTCTGCATTTGTCATTTTTGTCCTCCTTGCTCCCTTCATCCTTATCACTTTTAAAGAAATTCTCCACATTTGCATCGCTGTCTTCTTCAAAATCCTGTTCTCCTTCTTCTTTTTGCACCTCTTCATGCATCTCTTCTATCTCCTCCATTAAACTCTCGACAGCCTCCTCGCTATCCATATTCTCCTCTTCCTCATTTCCCTCCTCCTTCCTAATGCACCTCATATTTTCTGTCTCTCTGCCATCTCCTTCTTTTTTCTCTTCATCCTCACCTTCACAGCATTCCTCCTCTACCTCACCACTCCCTGCCGCCTCCTCCTCCTCTATCTGTTTTTTGAGAGCTTCCTTCATCTCATCCCCCTCCTCTCCGCTTTTCCCGTCTCCTTCCTCCCCTTTTTCACTCCTGCCTCCCTCCTCCACTAAGCCTCCTCCTTCATCCTCTCCCCTTTCTTCTTGAGCATTCCCATCTTCCAACTCCTCACCCTCCTCCACTTCATTCAAATCCTCTGCTACCTCCTGTACTGAGTATTCAGCAGAGTCTCCAGGCTCAGGGCTGATAGGACCTTGCCCCTCCTCATTGACATGGTTTTGGATGCCCGCAAGTGCGGACAGGTGGAGGTGTTTCTGCTTTTTAGTTTGAGACAGCAAAGCAGTAACAGTGACAGTAGAAGTCAGCAGGACAAAGAGGAAGACAGCCTAGACATTAAACCATTGAATAATTAACATATTCTGGGGTGAATACATGATCATCCATATTGAATCATTATCAGTCGTATCACAGGATTTTCTACCTGAAATAATTCAGTACAAGCCTTGCAGTAAATATTATTTAGCAGCAGCCATTTCTCTCCGTATATTATTTATTTTTTACAATGGTGTGTGTCACAAAGGATGAGTACTGTAAAGAGCAAATAGTTCTTTTTACCTCATACTGAAGGCCTCCTCCCAGGTCATCCTGGTCCAGGTGAAGGTTCTTCAACAGCCTGTCTGAACCGCGAGGACTCAGCTGGAAAACAGACGATTATAAGAGTTTAAAATATGAAAGCAGATAAACCAGAAATTTTCATCATCTTCAGGATGAACTATACCTCATTTTCTGAGAGCTTGTCGTCCTCATCGTCATCATCAAAATCAGGCAGAGTAAGGGACACCCTCTCTTTCTGCCTGCTGCCAAAAACACTAGATGTCCCACTACTTCTAGGACCCTGACAGAGGGAGAAATGTATAGTATATTTACTGTGCATCAAACGGTCTGTCATAGAGCACTAGGATCTTACCCTTAGGGAAGTCTTGAGGGGCTCCAGCCCACCAGAGCTGCTGAGGGACCCTCGAAGAGCAGGGGCAGATCCAGAGAGTGGGCCAGGGCCAGAGGCATCCAGACCTCTCAGAGGGGCCAGGCCGCCCAGGGGAGACGGTAAGGATCCCAAGGCTGAAGTGAGTGCCTAAAGGGAAAGAGAGACAGCCAAAGAGGTAAACAAATCGACCAAGAGTTTTCAAACATCAGCAACTTGTTGGTTATGGATTTGTTGAAAGCAAGTCTGAGTCAGGGATGTACTTTCCGATGAAGATTTCGCACCAGGTAAGCAATGAATACGCACCAGTGAAAAAATATTTATCTGATTTCATTACTTGTGTTATTTTTTAAAGAGGAACCATTGCCACCTTTCTAATAATAAACCAAAACATATTATTTTACACTATTTTATGTTTTGATTTTATCGCAGTTTCTTCTGCTCTCCCCATGTGGCAGTGAGGGGAAAAAATGAAAATATTAAAACTGTGGACAAATACAACAACCACTGACTCCAGAAGTCTTTACTGGCTCCTTTTTCTTTTTCTCTTTCTTCTCCTTCTTTTCTTTCTTCTTCTTCTTGTCCTTGTCCTTCTTTGCCCCCATGCCTCCTGCAGCTGCAGTGAGCTGGGTGCGCTCACGCTCCTGGGCCACCAGGAGGCGGTAGTGCTCATCGCAGGGGTGGTCCCAGGTGGATTGTCCTGTGGAGAAGTTGAAATAGTAGATTTCCCCCGTCACGTCTTGGCTGTGAGGGAGAAAGAGAGGGGGGGGTGTTATTTCAGCACCTCCAAAAAAATCGAGGACAGGGAAGGAAGGGTGAGGGGAAGATGGGTAGGTGAACACTGAGACGTCACCAGAGGTTGAGAAATCACCTGAAACTAAATGCTGAACCAATTCTATATACTAATACTACAGAACCATATCTATTAAATGTATTGGGTCATAAAGAATTACAGCTGCTTAACAACTGTCCCTGGAGATTTTGTTAAGGTTGCAACACGCCTCCAGTTTCAAGCATCAAAAACAAACCTTCACCCCTGACTAGTTGCAAGGACACAAACACTACACTCTGTCAATGACACTCAAATAAACGCTGGAGCAGCTTAGATGAAATTCTGACATCAGCTTGCATCACCAAGACCATTTGCAACAACATTAAACTACATCCATAAGAATTTACATGGTGGTCCACATGGGTTTGTGTAGCATACTATGTCTGATACACAATGACACTGTGGGTGGACATGTTGCTATGACTCCATTACCCAGCCTTCCTTACCAAGGCTTCCACTCGGGAGGCAATGGTGCAACGACACCTTCCCTGGCCAGCCACAGTAGCTCCGGCTCGCTGTCGGGATCAATGCCAATCTCTCTTGCATATTCTTGAATCTCTGGTGATAGTGAGTAAAAGAAGGGGTGTGAGGAGAGCAAAGTGTAACCCTACAGCATCATATCATACACTGTTGTAGGTTTGTGGATTAAACAGCTCACAATGACAGTTATTAGAAAGGGAATGACCCTGAATGAATATATGAATTAAGATAAGTGAGACTGGAGCAATCAGAAGGAACCCTTCATTATCCCCCTGTATCCAATATTATCTTGGATTATAGAGTAATAACTATCAGTGTCAAACACCCACAATGAATGTTATACATCTACCACCTAAGAGATGCTGGTGACTTTGGCTGTTGCTGGAGAGTTTCTACACATATTTATTTTAAGATCATCTGAGCCTTGTGAGTCAATCACAGGCCTGATGACATGAACCAGGTTTATCACCCCTGAAGTACCTTGTTCAGAGGGTATGTAATTCTCATCGTAGTCCTCTTCAAGGATCAGCTGGCCTCCCATGAGAGCTGTTGTACTCATGGTTACTGTAGAGACACAAGAGGATGAACGGCAAAACAAGGGTGCCCATCTTTCTTAACTCAGCTAAAGCTCAGCTAATCAGATTAACACGACTTCTCGAGTTTGTGCGGCAGCAAAACCAACATTCATGTTTTCAGTAATCGGAACAAATGGATTTTTAGCTCGTTAATGCGAGGGGCAGCGAGGGAAGGGAAGAAGCTAATGAAGCTAATATCTAGGCAACTTAAACATTAGCTTGCGGCCATCTAACTAGCTTCAGCTGCTAAACGGGCGAGGAATAACTTCTTCAGGGTCAAGGTATTTACCTTCCACACTTTTAATCGTTTACTCATTAGCCCCTTTGGCGTTATCGATTAGTTGACAGTTGTTGTAGTCAGAAAGATGCGAGAGCTTCTCCACCAGCTACATATCCAAGGACGCTTCCCCCGCTTCCTGTTGACGATGAGAACGCGGCTCTGATTGGCTGACACGCATGTGGCGTTCACGTTATCCTCGTACGTTTCACCTCTCAAATCATTGGAGGAATTTAAATTTTGCGTTGTCAGTTATTTGATGATAAAACGCAGCAGTGATCAGATAAGAACCATAATGTCACACACACACACACACACACACACACACACACACACACACACACACACACACACACATTGCCTAAACTCATTGCCTAACTTTGTGTTAAGTTTCATTTTGACAATTTATTACTATGTTATCATTTATTTGTACAGATGTATTTTCTTCATGCCATACTCTCACGTATCTATTTTAGTCCATGTTTGTGTGCTATTCAATGTTGTAAAGTATTCGACTTTCATCAAAAGGCATCTGGAGGGACGACAGCAGCTGATATGAATTGGAGTTTGTGCACTTTGAGATGTCTGTGCATTTGTCTTGCACTTGATTGCGTATCTCTATATGAGTGTGCAGCTGTCTAATATGTTGTATTGCACTTAAAAGCACTAATCACTGTAAAACACCACTGTCCACCTGTTTCTGATTTACTTGTGGGGTACATTGCAGGGCATTATTTTTTTACGGGTGCCTAAAGACTTTCACAGATCCAAGTTTCCATTCTGTCGATAACTCATGTGATGTATGTCTCACAATTTCTGTTACCTCTGCTCAAAAGGGAGCTTTTTAGTTTGGAATCCCTTTTCAGTAAGCTTCAAAAGTCCTTTCCAGCATGTCGTTCTGTCAGTCAGTGTTCTGTAGGCTGCAGATGGTCCTGATCTCTCCCTCGCTGGCCACAGTACATCACAGCGGAAGCGTTTTACACTGTTGTGTAGAAACAACACAGAGACACACGTCACAAAGAAATATTATATTTAAATAGATGGATAGGAGGGATGAAGGTAGATCGACACTTTTTGCAAATTTAAACATCAGTGGCTTAAGACACACAGTGCAAGAAAAGCACTCAAGAATTATGGAGGCTGTGTAAATAGTCAAGAACAAAGAAATTCTAAACTTAATAGAAGAAAAACATAACCAGACATTGTAGTTTCTTTTTGTGACTTATACTTCAGTAAGCTCCTCTGGGTAAAGTGAGTGTCAACAACTTTTGGTCTCAGTGAGTTTATTTTGACAAAGCATGTGTTTTGCATTTGTCATTGTAAGGCAGGGCTCCCTGTGGTGTGTCAAATAACACTTTCTGTCCCCCAGGCCTCACAGCTGGGAGCTTCATTAACACCATGCTGCTAAATGATGCTTTTGTTCAGTCCCGGAGCCACAGAGTCTTACCAGACTTTCTTTGCTGACTGCTGTCTACAAAAAAGTAAATTACAACAGGTCACTTGTCTACCAGTTGAATATATGCACAGAGTAAGATTACATGGCTTCAAATGTATAATAAATTGGTTTGGCTTCTGTCCTGATCACTTAATGTGTGGTTTTAACCACAAGAGGGCAGACGAGGGGAGAATTAGAGCTACATGATTACTTTACTTAAAGGTCCAGTGTGTAAGATTTAGATGAAAGGGAACTATTGGCAGAAATTTAATGTAGAATAATCCTCAAGATGTTTTCACTAGCTTGTTTCATCTAAGTTTTATGAATTGTAGTTTTCTTTACCCTAGAAAAGGTCCTTTATATTTAAATACTTTTTATTTACATCGAGGGGACCTTCTCTACGGAGGCCACCATGTTTTTTTTACATTAGTCCAGACTGAACAAACTAAACACCTTTTGAGTTTTTATGACAACTGAAGCTACCACAGGTTCTTTTTCATGTTTGGAAGGAGAGGGTGAGGTGAGGGGTGTTCCGCTGCAACATGCAATTTAGATAGCACACATTTCTACACACTGTACCTTTAACAACTAGTTGACCTTTCTGAGAAATATCAGCTGCACTGAATTGAGGAAATATTTTCAGCTCTCTGCCTTAATGTGGTGCTGATAAAGTTTCCAAATATTCTTACTTTACTCAAGATATATTCCCCCCCCTTTCATGCAGCATTTTTCTTATGTTTGTATGTAGCACCAACAAAAAAGGATTAAAAATATCAGGCGATTCTGTGCAGTTTTTTGGAAATGCGTGGGTTCAGGTATGAATCACGCTTCTTCCCATCCTGTCTTTGTTTGATTTTTGGTGTGGGTGGTTTGGTTCTGGTATCAGGGTAAATGACCTCTACATCTTGGGCAATGATAGCTTTAGAATTACAAACAGGCCTTGAAACTTAGATGATCAACTCATTATCTACGCACTAAACTGGATGATAGACAGCACTGTGTGTTAGGTTCTGCATGTCAGAAGTTTGAGTCAACTCAGCCTTTTTCATGCATGATGGTGGCGGATGTGTGATCTCTGTTGTTGAAAAACCTTAGATTAGCCATGCAGTATTATGACTACTTGATGAAATGAAAAAGATGTTAAGTTGTGCAGATTCTTTCACCTGGGTTTTATATCCTGCATTACACGATTTACAATGATCCCCACTTAAGTCTCCCAGAAAAAAGCAAATATGAAAAAAAAAAAAAATTCATGTCAAACTCATCATCAATTCAATTATTCAAAAGGTCATCATTGCAGTTGCAAGGACCTTTTTCAACACTTATAGACACTAATTGTATGGTTACTAGTATTGAGGGTGTGTAGAGTGCAAAAGCTTATTCAAGGAAGAGGAAACATTTTCTAAGTTCATTGAAAATCCATTTGTACACATACAGCAGAAGATAGCTCAAGTCCATAGTATATGAATGCCCACACACATACACATAAATATACCCATAAAAAGGTTTGAGGACATGCACACATTATCCAGTAGCTGCACTCTACACTGGGTGAAGGGTGAAACAGATGTTTACTCATTTGGTTTTTGCTGCAAATAAAGATGGCCTGTGTTCAAATGTTCAACAAGCACTTTGTCATTTTATGGTTGATTTGTTTCGAGAAACGTCCTCATCACCTAAACTTCACCTTTTTAATATATCAATGCAAAGTTAAAAATATTTGTGAAAAGTATTGACATTTTTAAGATCTTGTGTAAAACCACAATACATTAAAAATGCTCATAAGTAAAACAAAAACAATCCGAATTCTACTGAAGAAGGAAAAATAACAACATAAAGCTGGCACAGTATAAATACTGTTAATGTACATACATCATACTCTAGTGGATACTGCAATTAGATAGGAAGAATAAATATTATTATATGAAAAACAGTGGACCAGCATTACATAATAGATCAAAATGGAAACAGGAAAGTAAAGTTTTAGTTCAGCATAAAATCTTCCTTCAATTCTACCATCATTTGTAACATTGCCTCCTCTGGCAGTGTCCTTTTTGAGGGAACATGTACAGCGTGCACTGCAACCTGCACAAAAGAATCACACAATATTGTGTGTTCACTATCCGTTTCTCACATCATTTCCTGTTGCATCAGAAAAATGCTCTTTTTATGCTGGCGCTTAAGTCTGCACTTCGATAAATGGCATTATCTTCAGAGTGGTCTTAGGAGCAGCAGATTGCTCCAGAGCCTCATAAACGTTGAAGATAATGTTACATATCGCAGGTCAGAATATCAGCTCAGTGCACAAAGTCGGCACAGAAGTCACATCTTCGTTATTGTCTGCTTATGTGAGTGCATGTGAGAGCGAGTGGATGATTTCTAGATCAAACAATAGTTCTTGGTGGTTGTGTATCAGCCTCATTTTGCTCCTCAGTGATTTAGGTTATCTGAGTTCAGGGTCGATTCTCTTTCTTTGTTGTCGAGCTGTACAACCCGCAGGGCCATGCAACCTACAGTGACACACTATGACCAGGCTTTGGTCCAAATATCTGTATTAAAGCAGAAGCGACCTCAACAGATGTGACATTGCAAAACAACATCACGACAGTTAAGTAGGCTGTGGTATAGCACACTGAAGTGTGTGCGTGTGTGTGACAGATAGAGCTCCACACTGTTGCTTACAGCTGAGATAACCTCCCCTGCTGATTTGAGAACAGTGCTCCGTCATGGAGGCAGCTGGAACAATGACGTGACCTTTGAACCTCAGTCAGCGCCTGATCAAATAGTGGATTTACTGATTAAATATTTATCAGCTCCAGGCAATTACCCCACATCTGCCCGGCTGTTTGTTGGTCACTGTATAACTGGTCGCTGAAGAAGTTCCTTTTCTTAGCCTCAGTTAATCCCTTCATGCATATCAGCTGACTTTACATGACTGCAGCAGAAACCGGTGAAAAGGAGAAATTCTTCATTTAGGACACCATTGATTCAAATTCAGTCCATATAAAGCTTGCAAACCCAATAGTGGTGCTGCCCTTTGTGAATTAACCCAAAATAATGTCAACCAGAAATGTCCTCCTTTTTAACTGCAGGAAAAAGCCTTGAGTCCGTGGTCAAAGTGATTCACTACTTTAATGAGTTTCTCCCATTTAAAACTCCTGTCTTGCGAAACATGCAACCTCAGCAATTAATTGTCCTGCCAGCTCGCAGTTCTGAGGTCCTCTTGATAACAATTATGACAGCAGTAATCTCCACAGATGGCTCAGTGAGGATGCTGAATCAACGTGGTGCAATGCAAGCAGTCTCAAAGGTTGCTGTTCCAGATAAGTGTCATTCTTCTCTCTGAGCTTTCTTATCTCATGCGCCAGGGCAAACGCCCTAAGTACTACTGTACAATGACAGTACAACCTGATGCCATTGACAGGGGTCATGTTCAGTGATTTGTTGGGCCTCTTACTGAGCTTGGTGTGTAAAGCGGAGGCCAACAATTAATGCTTATTTTTTTATCATTTTGATCACTGTTTGATCTGAGAGACGTCAGAAAAAAGTAATAAATGTCATCGTCACGCTGCTTGTTTTGGCCAACTAAAATGAATTCATTCAAAATGAATTCGTTTTATTCATTTATCACTTAATTCAGGATTAAAGAAAAGCATTATGCTGTATCTACAGGTGAGGAAAGTATCCTGACTTTATATTTGTAATCTAACATTTATTGCTGGGCCATTTTTTTTACCTTGCTTGGCTAAATTAGTCACTTCTTGAAAGCATTTCAGTGCTTCCATTATTACACCATTCTCATTGGTTTTCTGTATTTCACAAGCTGGTGTCAGACAAATGGTTGCAGTTGGTAACAGCATTGTGAACCTTGCAGATGTCTGTCCATGAGAGTCTCGTAGGTGTCTGTTTTGTCACCTCTCTGTCCTCACTTGGTCATCAGGCTCAATTTGGCTCCTGCTTACATAAAAGTCAAGAGAATGAGTTTGATGTCGAGGCGTGAGAGAGAGGACACACAAGTCTGTGTCAGATAATAAATAACAACGGCAAATGGAAGTGGGGAAAGACAATGCATGGTAAAATGTGACTTTTAAGTAGGCCTATAGGAAATGCTGCAGATGCAATAACAAAACTATCAAGCTATCAAACTCTTCTCCTGTGAAGTTTCAGGAGGCAGATACCTTCTCTTTGTTTAAGAGTCAGTTTAAACTCTTTCTTTTGGATAAAGTTTATAGAGCTGGCTCAGGTCTGCCTGGATCAGCTATTGGTTATGCTGCTATAGGTCAAAATTGTCAGGGGACAAATGGCACATGGAGCTTCTCTTTCCTCCTCTTCCTCTTCATCACATTATTGTTTCATACATAAACTGACTTAACCTCTTCACCAGATTCCCTACATGGATCGTGGATTGGGATCGTGGATTGTAGTGGCAGCTGATCTCGGATTATGATTACAATGTATACTCACATATACAACCACACACATCTCCATTAAAGTTTGTCACTGTCCTTTCTCCTTCTCCATTTATTCACAGGGCTGGAACAAAATATAAGAACCTCTTTTCAATAAAATTTCCTGGCAAAAGGAATTCTAGTGTGATGACATTCAGAGAAACTTGTATTGATTATAATGTATAGACTATTAGAACTACCTTATGCAAGATAAGCAGACCTGTCTGTTGGTTACAGCTGACCAGTGATGACAATGATTAACCTTGTACCTAATAACCCTGCACTATTTTACCAGCTTTCACTCTGCAGATACGTGGGGCCCGACATACAGAAGGGGGTTTCCTTATATTATATTTTCCTTATATTTCTAGAGCACATAATAAATATAAATATAAATATACAAATATCACCTCTATTTTATGTAAAAGTTATAATTATAATTTTCTGAATTATTTGCACTACTTTCCCTCTGTTTTGACTAAAATCTTGTAAAATCAGTAAATCTAATAAAATCTAAAAGTGATTGTCTCGATACGTAAATCTGTATATTGGCAATAATTGTATTTGAGTCATATTTGTTTGACAGGAGACTTTACAGTTTCCATGATATGCACATACATGTTTATAATTAGAGACTGTATACTTTAATCATTCTTAGTCCTCAAACTTCATGAAGCCATGGTGACAAAGTCCACTGGTGATAGGACAACAAACAACAGCATGGTACACACCACACTTTGACCCATTAATCATCGCACACACTCTGGACTCAAATCTTGTTATCTGTTTCCTGAGATAAGTCTTGAGATCTAGCTTAGTGCATTATTTTGTGGTAGTGTTAGCACATAAATGTGTGCATGTATTTTTTATTCACAGTTTACTGAATAAATATTTAATGGAATTACATTTCACTGAGTCAATTGCATCAAGTCACCATCTTCTGTTTGCTCGTATTTCATTTGAAGCCATTTGGAGGCACTTAGACTGTAAATAACTTGGTTTCCCTACACACTCTTCTGTACCAAATGGTGTGCAAGGAAATCACTCTCGGTCAACATGAACTGCTGTTTGCAGTTTATAGTTAGAAATAAAACAAGACTCAGTGGAGTACCCTGTGGGACATCTTTATTTAGATTTTAAATGTTTTACTTTTTCTTGTTTCATATCTCTGTTCATATTGTTGTCTTGTCTTGCCACTAACACAACTCTTCCAGTCCAGATCTCCTGTCTCTAACATAATAAAAAGCACAATTTTCTACCGTCTTCATAGCAGAGTTTTTTTATAACTGCCTCTTGTGTCTGTTACACAACTGCACAGACTCGGCCACAGGACAAGATAGAGTAGTTAGAAAAGCAGAAAAACATTCAATGGCATCCTAGATGTATCACCAGTAAAAAATTATTGTTTTAAATAATGTGGTGAATTTAGAGGATCGTTAGTTTCTTTCCAAGAACAGTTTTTACTTTGGTAAAGATTCGATGCCACTGATCCATTGTGAGTCTGGGACTTTGAGGTTCACTGTGTGTGTGTGTGTGTGTGTGTGTGTGTATGTGTGTGTGTGTGCTCAGTGATCGCTCAGCAGGTGACTATTGAACTCTTAGCCCAGTCGCCCCTGCTGAGGGAGATGGCTGGGGGGTGAGGTCCAGCTCCACGGAGACACACAGCCCTCACACCTCCAACCCCCCCTCCTCCCCACATGGGCTCATCCCTCACCCGAGCACTATAAAAAGTCTGCTCTTGCTGAAGTTATTCAGTCTCATCAACTCCACCAGGTAAGACAAGAAACTGCGAGGGCTCTAACTGAAACTTGGGGTTCAGAGTATTTGTTAGAAAGCTTTGTGCACTCTGTTAGCTTTGACGATGTTGTGAGCTAGTACCACAAATCAGTTGGAAAGAAAATACACCCTAGTGTTAACTTTTATTTTTGATTGTGAGGTATTTCATTGACTTTAAGTTTGGGATAATACTGTTTAGTCTAGGAGTTAACTTCACTTAAAGGAAATCTAAAAAACTAGCTCTTAACCAAAGTGCCTCAGAATTGAGATTATCTTTGGATCCAAAGGGCTGATTTGCTAATTCTATGGCAGGATTACATAGCAGTCCAGGGCTAATCTGCTTCAGCTGTGTGTCTAATTTACCCAGATTACAGGTTCTTTGAATAGACAGCCATATGTTCAGTGTGAACTAATTCAGGCCAATGCAGGGATGAGTGTGTAGCTTTAATGGTGTGTTAAGACATTCTGACTTGTCGGTATACTTATCTGGCCTTCAAATTGCTTTAGGTGGGGTACTTATTGGATCAACGGTCGATTGGATCCTTTTTCAATGTAGTTTTTGCAAATTTCTTTGTGTCTTTTTTATTGAAACTAACTTGAGCCCCTAAAAATCCCCTTAAATAGCATCTATTCATACACAGGACAAAGCAGTGAATTATAGGTTTATTACTTTGAGTGTAAAATGTTCACTGAATAATCAGCAACCTTTGCCTCTTTTTCCACTTTAGACCACCACCATGAAATTCGTGGCTCTTGCTCTTGCCCTTCTGCTGGCCGTCGGTGAGTACTCCATGTGCTGTTTCATAAAGGGAAAAAATTTACCATTTTGAATTTTCTAACTGTGTAATGTCTCTTCCTCCCATCCTATCTTTCTGCTCAACTCTCTTCCTCCTCTTTACTCTTCTTTTCCTTCTCAGGCTCTCATGCCGCTTCCCTGTCGGTTGATGCACCATCACAACTGCAGCATGTACGATCTGTCATGGATCTCTACATGACTCAGGTGAAGGACAGTGTCAAAAAAGTCCTGGACCAACTCGATGGTACTCAGTACCAGGAGCTCAAGTAAGGCTATGTCACACTCCTCAGTCAGACCCACATTCAGTCACTGGTTCATTCATCTTTCTGCCTTGGTCACTTTTTACACTTTTCTTTAGTTATTGTTTACTCTCTCACGTTTATGCAACTTTTTTCCCTCTCAGGCTCACCCTGACTCAGCGCCTGGATGATGCACACAATCAGATTAAGGCTTTGCAGAACTCTGTTTCCCCTATCACTGACAGTGTTGTCACTACCATCGCTGATGCCACCGCTGAATTCCGTGCTTCTGTCGATGCTGATATCGAAGCCCTGAAAACTGAGATTGAGCCCAAACGTGCTGAATTGAGAGATGTCCTCATGAAGCACTTGGAAGGATACCGTATGGAGCTGGAGCCCATCATCCAAGATTACCATGCCAAGAACAAAGTTCAGATGGATGCCCTGAAGCTCAAGCTGGATCCTGTGCTGGAAACGATGAAGACCAAGGTGGCTGAGAATGTGGAGGAGACCAAGACCGCCCTGATGCCCATTTTGGAATCTGTGTATGCTAAACTCTCTGAGCGTCTTCAGAATCTGAAGGAGCTGGCCACTCCCTACGTCGAGGAATACAAGACTCACCTTACGCAGGCCTACGACCAGGCAAAAGTAGTCAACACCGAGGAGATGGAAGCCCTGAAGGCGAAGCTTGCACCTATGGCTGAGGAAGTCAAGACAAAGATCCAAGAGATGTTTGAGTTGACGAGCGCTACCTTCAACAAAAGCTAAATCCTCTCCACCCTGTTCCTGTAGCTAACCATACCTGCCTAGATCCATTCCACCTTTCTCTCCATTCCTTCTCTATTCACATGCACACACAGAACACCTCTCAAAATGAAGCCAATACCTAACTGATGCATGTCACTTCAACAAAATGGAAGGACTCTTGCTCTCTCTCTCCACCAAGCAAACACCCTCACACCTACACACATGCTCAAGCACATGCAAGCGAAGACATACACAGACTCTCACATAACTCAGCACACACATGCTTTGCTCTTCATGCGCCAAAGCCAGCTGCTTACATTTTGTGTAGGAATTGTATGTGAATGATCACAAATGCCTGAACCTCTGTGATATGATGCTTGTTTGATAAAAACTGTGCTTTGACGAAATACAGCTCAATAAACATCTGACTCTTTATACTACTTTTCTTGAACACTTTGATTTTCTCTCTAAATGAGCAGTATGCAAATTGTCCACAACAATTTGTAAGACTCTGCAGTTCACTTTGTTATAACATCCACATCTGCCTCATCTGAATTAGAATTGATCCAAATTGTCATAAAACTTAGAAGCAGAGACATTCCTTTTCAGAAATGAAACACTACACATTCAGTTTGATTGGGGTGTTCTTGGCCTCAGCGAGCCTCTAAGATCATATGACACATTTAGCATTTTGAGAGGTCATCATTGATCAAAAGGTCCATTGGAGAAGAACAATATTAATACAATCAGTTCTACTTCAGACAGTTATCCAATAATATGTGGAGTATTTCTGCCTGTGGTCCTGAAAGCTGTGATTAATGAGTCGATCAGGGCTGCGAATTGGCCTATTGATAAACTTAAGTCTTAAGTCCTGTTGTGCTTTGTTCAGGAAAAACCCTCTTTTCTGTTTTCAATCCCTGAGGCCAGAACCCTTCAACACTGTCCTATCATAGAGCCACACGAGGATACATGCAGTCTCACACACACACACACACACACACACACACACACAACCTCACATCTGCAATGACACCAATAATGCTTCCACTTACCCCTGTAATTAGACAACTGTGATTGATCAAGCTCATATATCATATAATCTGTTTGGGTTTTTTTGCACACACATTTCAGGGAACAATAGATCAGCTTACATTGATTTCCTGGAGCCACTCAGCGAAGGCTACGTCATGAATAACCCTCTGTATCTGAGTTGATGCATTTTCAAATTAAAGAGCGGTAGTGTGAATGTGGCCTTACTCAAACCTTACCCACTACTACTTGCCTAACCCTAACCCTTACTGTACACGTCCTCACCTTAAAATGTAATGATTTCTGTTATGGTTTTTTGATTTTCTCCCCGTGACCAAAACAGATTTAGGCCCCCACAACATGAGTACTACATGGGCCACACACACACACACACACACACACACACACACACACTAACACTGTCTGAAACCTTAGATTTAGAAGAAATAAATTCAAAACTTTATCTTTACTTTACTGCATCTTCGACACAGTTTGATGTATAACATTTTATAAATAAAATATAATGTCGCCATTACTCATGCCCAGAAATATTCACCCTATTAGTTTTAGGGAATAAGTCTCTTTAATTAGGGTGGTGTTGAAACCATGCTCCAAGAAATTAGGCTATGAATAATAAAAGTAGCTGGTTGCTGTCTTCATCTGTCCACACCCAGTAACACCGGGCTGATTAGGATGTTATTAATGTGCTACTGATTGGTCAAAACAAGACCTGAGGCGTTAGACTATATTAAACAATTGCAAGTACAAGCAGGGATTTGCAGATGCTCCAAAACGATTGTGTATGTGCGTGTGCACAGTTCTTGGGGCCACATGCACGCATGCATGTGCAGCAGTGATTAGTGCATGTCAGGGGCACTGTGAGTATTGTAATGGATGAGGGCAGCTTGGAGGTCCCCAGTGAGAGACTCATGGTGCATAAAACCAGCATCTTCCTGGACACAACAGCCACTCCTCACGCTTAATGCTTGGATTTACCTCTCTGCAAGTGGCTCATAAAGAACTGGGAGGGAGACTATAGACCATATTCTTGCCTTCAGTTTTATTTTGCAGAGCTGTGGTTTTGGTTTGACTCTGTGCTATTCTGAATGTAATTACAGTAGTTGCTAATCCTGTTCAGAAGAGGAGGAACAGACAGGAGTTTAAAAATTTGTTGAAAAATATAGAAAAGTGGCAAAATTCATTCTTTTTCTTTGGCTTGAAGTCAGTCAGGGAATGGATGGTGAGTAATGTGTTTAAATGTATGTGAGCTCTGTGGAAACCAGATATTCATCCATGTGTTGATAACGATTACAGGCAAATGTATCTGTGGCTCAGGTCCTCTGTTGTCTCAGAGCTGTGCACTATCTCTACCCTGCTGTGCAGAAGGGGGGTCACTGTTGAGCACCAAGGCCCCTCAAGTCAGTGGGGTCAGAGTTCAGTTGGAGATGCATCTGCTTTGGCAGCAGTTTGACCAGCTGGGCACAGAGATGATTGTTACCAAGGCTGGAAGGTTACTATCCTTTTTCTAGCACTTCTCCTTCCTCCCCTCTTTTTCTCTGTCATTTACTCCTTTGCTTTCATGTTATGCTTTCATGTGCTGCAGAAGGATGTTTCCGACATTCCAGGTGCGGATCTCTGGGATGGATCCGACTGCTGAATATGTCTTGCTCATGGATTTCATCCCTGTTGATGATAAAAGATACAGGTTAGACACACACACACACACACACATGGCGGGTGTGTAGTGTAGTGTGCAACAGAGATTTTTAATGAAATACAGAAAATCAATCTGTGCAAGTTAACTTCTCTGCAAGCTTTGTCTTACAAGTCCTATTTAAAACGTTTTATATATGTATGTGGGTGTGTGTGTGTGTGTGTGTGTAAATGTGTGTTAGATATGCGTTCCATAGTTCATCCTGGTTGGTGGCAGGGCGAGCAGATGTTGCAGCTCCAAGCAGGATGCATTTCCACCCGGACTCACCTGCCCGTGGAGCCCAGTGGATGAAGCAGACGGTGTCCTTCGACTCTCTCAAACTCACCAACAACTTGCTGGATGACAATGGACACGTCAGTTAAACCTAAAAATTAAAATGCATTGTTTTGGTTTTCATTTCATAGAGAAAAATAACGCACCCAAAAGTACCTTTTTCTATGTGTTAATCGCAACTTTTTTTCTATTTCCTCATTGACAGATGATATTAAACTCCATGCATCGTTACCAGCCACGCTTCCATGTGGTGTATGTGGATCCGGCACCCAACAGCCACTTACATGCATCCAGAAACTTCAGCTCTTTCTCCTTCCCAGAGACACTATTCATGGCCGTCACCGCCTATCAGAACCACCGGGTAGGATCCCAGGATCAGTAGGCTTCAAACTAAATATAAATATTACTCTGGCTCAACAGACATTCATTTCACTCAATTGAACCAAGCAGATTCTTGCATTAAATGATATATTGAGCAAATGCTTAGGAGGCAATTTCATCATTCATTTTGCCCACCTTCTCTCAGATTACCCAGCTAAAAATTGCAAGCAACCCGTTTGCTAAAGGCTTTAGGACTACAGACCCGCAGGACTGGTGAGTGCCCATTTGTCATTCAGTCAAGTGTGAATACAGTTCGTCTGATTGAGAAACACATTGTCCCTTGATGGGCAAGTTAAAATCCTAGATCGCTGGGTATCTTTATTACTATTATCAGCTAGTAAAAAGTGATATGGCAGCAGTCTCGAGGATAACTAATCTTTGACCCTTGTATGGAGCAGAACAGATCAAGTATGGAAAACTGTGAGGGGTGTGGTTCATGTGTAGGTTCAGGCAGCTATATGTCTACAATGATAATGATGTGTGTGTGTGTTTGTAGGGTGGGAAATTCCAGGCCCCCATCAGTATGGTGTCCACCAGATGGCAGAACAGAGCCCCTTACCACTAAACCTGGAGAGCAGAGAAGCTGGGGCTCAAAGACTTCAACCAGTGAGTCTCTCTGGTATACATGACTCAGTATAATCAGTCAAGTTCAGTATACTAAGTTTTAATATCATTAACACTCCTCCTAATTTAATTTCGAGTCACTAACATTAGGATCCACATTTTAAACACAGGGTTTGTTTGAGGGTAGTTGACATTTTGATTAGCTTTTTTTGAATTAGAGAATGACCTCTGAATTTTGATTTTAAATCTATTTGCTGTGCAGATGCTTTGTACAACAGCTGAAAATCCTTTATCAATTTCTATACAATTTCCATACCAGTGCTTGTACATCTGTATTCTCATTGTGGAAACTGTTGGGTTTCTCTATAATTGTATAAAGCCTGACCATACTAGGTGAGATGCCTTGAGATAATTCAATTCAATTCAATTGTATTTATTTTAAGTAAAACATGTATTATCTCAAGGCCCTATACATAGTAAGGTTGGAGCCTCAGAATAGTATAGAGAAATCAAACAGTTTCCACGTAGAACAAGCAATCAGTTACTGTCTGGCCATCTTCCTAGACCGGTTAGGGTGAGGAGAGAGAAATCTTGCGGAGAGAAGAGAAAATAGGGGAGACAAAAGAGAGAGAGACCGTGTCATGGTCATATTTAATAATGATTTGTTGTTATTTGGAGCAATACAAATAAAATACAATTTAACTGAATGAATACTCTAGTGTGATGAGGCTTGATGGATCCATACTAATTATTTGAGTGAGCAGTGAGATAATGGTTCAGATTTTAAAGTTAAACTAGACAAATAATTGCTGATCAATTGCACGTGTCCAACCATATTCTTCTGCATCCTCAGGACCGGAGGAAACAGCCTCGTTCCTGGTGGAGCAGACTGGACGGTTCCAACACTGTAAAGAGTCTGCAGAACTCCCTGTGGAGAGGAGAGACAGGGACATTTTATTAGCACCTGCTTCCTTCTTCCCTCTCACTTCCTACTGCGACTGTGCAGGATCATCTGAAGACAGAGACAATCTACCCTATAGAGGAAAATAAGCGTATTTAATATCATGTGATGTGATGATATATGGTGTCCACTAAATAATATCCAATAAGAGCACTACAAAGTCACAGTGGTACAACATTTGTAAGAATTACAAAAATCCGTTGTAGTTCTTACACACTCAATTGCAATTTGTCCTTGTAACATTTGTGCAAAAGAAATGACTTTGTTTGTTGTCTGGAACAATAAAATAACATTTCCCAAAATGTTGGACTTTTTCTTTTATGTTTAGGTTGGTTGTATTTCTTCTGGATGAGAACAAATGTAAAAAGGGGGAGAAAACCCATAATGTGTCGTATTTCATGAGAAGTAGCAAGAGAGTCCAGACATGACACTGATTCTGCCTTTAAATTAAGAGACATTAGAAAAAGAAGAATAGAAAAAAGAAAAGGAAGAAAAAGACGAAGAAGAAAAATGAATGAATGACATTTAAGGAATCTAAAAAAAGTGTTTACCTTACATAATAATTATATACAACACAGGTGGTTGTGTAGCCTATGGCACTGTTTGATCAAAACATCACAAACTTACTAAATGTGGTCATTATCATTATCCTGAGTGTTATAATATCAAACCTCTCTGAGGTAGCTGAGTATCTAGTGCAGGCCTACTTGCATTACAATGTAGGCTACATTTCTACTTGATATTGTTTGCCCATACCTAATTTGTGGAATAACCTCAGATCATTATTGCACAGTGTTTTTATATGACACATTTCAATAATTCTCAGTATTGGGGTCTGCTGTATCAGACATCAAACTGGAATAACTAGTGTCAGACATCTTGAGAGAAATGTGTTTTTAAGTCAGTTTGGATTTTAGATGATGATGGTGTGCGTCTAACGAAACATACAGAAGCCTATTTTATTGCACATATTAATATGACAAAGTACCTTCATTTGACAACCTACTTTACCACCGGGATGTTGTGTTCTGATCTGCATTTATTTATCATTTAACAGGATTATGAGAAAACTTATTCACCTGTAGCCATGCAACTTTGTAGAGAGACAAGGCATGAGCTAAGAAGCTCCAGAAGTATTTAAAACGTAAAGGGCTCGTTCTAGGGTAAAGAAAACAACAATTATTAGGACTTAGATGATCACACACCAGTGGAAACATCAGAAGGATCATTTTTATATTCAATTTCTGCCAAGTGATCTATAAATCTTACACACTGTTATTTTGAAAGCGCTGACAGGAAGTCGTGTGGGGAGGCGCTTCACCTTGACGGCGGTGATGCTCGCTGCCTCAGCTCCGGAGGATGCAGCGGGGTGGATGGAGGAGGAGGCGGAGGTGAAAGACTGGACGGCGGAGAACAGAAGGACCGGGCCGGGAGAGGACAGGGGGAGGATGCGGATCACGGCAGCTCGCCGGACACCCACGGCTCGGGTGGTTTGACGTGAGGATGTGCGGAGGAAACAGCGCGGGCCTGCGGGTTGATGAGACACGGCGAGCGGAGGCAGGGAGAGTCCGTCAAATCACCAGCGAGGGCTTAACCGCGGGGGCGGTGTGACCTCCAGTGCTGGATCATCGTAGTGTTTTCTTCTCAACCAGCCTTCGTTACGAAACCCGCAGTGGAAGCGCAGTGACCCCCGTCCCCCTCCGCGGCTCAGCTGCCAGCATGAGCGTAGCCGCTACTTTAGAATCGTCGCCACCGGATCTCCTCCTCCGCCCCACCGCCGCCGCTGCAGGGCGGGCGTCAAAGTGAGCGGAACCGAAATCAAACACACAGAGACACACACACACACACACACACAAGCTGTTACCAAATGGCGGCGTCTTCGTTACGGGGCGCTCTGGTTATATTGTCGGCTCTGTGCTGCCTCAGCTGCGGTCACCCGGCGCCGGAAGCCTCGGGCCTGCCTCGGGCCATCCGCGTGCCACTGCGGCAAGGCGCTCGCGCTGAGCCGTTACCGTCGCTGCCGCCTGCCGCGGGGAGGCACGCGGCGCGGCGCAGGAGAGGAGCGGCAGCGAGCGGCATCAGCTTCGTGGACATGATCGATAACCTGCGGGGGAAGTCCGGGCAGGGCTACTACGTGGAGATGGCCGTGGGTTCTCCTCCGCAGAAGGTAAAAGTTGCACATACACGATGGTCAATATGGCTTCGTAGACGAGTATGACCACGTGTTGTCCCATTTGTATATAAAACATTATATAAAATGGTTGTGCAATACGTCACAGTGCAATATGTCGTCGTAGTTAGAAGATGTGAACTGTGGCATGTGTATGGAAATGTGATGGGCAAGTGTGTTCATGTGAACCTGCAGGCTGCACAGTGTCCAAAGCAAATCTCCCCCATGGGGACAATAAAGTTTATCTCATCTCATCTCATCTCATCTTATAATTTGTACTTTATTGTATTTGAGAAAAGACAACCCTTCATTATCCCACAACAATGTGCAGTGTTACAGCAGCGAGGAGGACAGTGAAAAATGGAAATCAGTAAAGTAATAATAAGTATAAGGTATATAATAAGTATTATCATGTATTCATTTCATTTTTTTATTTATTTGATTAGAACAGTGTTCATGAATGAGCCAGAATTAGCTTTATGAGATAATTTTCATCTGTTGTCCTGAGACAGTTTTTACAAGGCAAACTGAAAACAAATCTATCTTAATTACATATGTCCATTATATATACCATCCAAATGAACTGTGCAACAAACCCAATCATTAAAACACTACTCCTTATAATAATGATAAAAAAGATCATCCATCGATAAACACTGTTACAGATAAAAACAAGCAAGTATCCCATTATTAAAATGCATTCTAAAAATCAAAACATACATGTATGATACAGTAAAAAAAACACAGATATGTAAACTTAATCACGTAAGAAGTGGAATGATTACACATGACCGCATTTTTAAATTAAAATTGATAAAAACCTGCTTTGAACATAGTCCGATTGTCCAATACTGTTGATGTCCCTGCAGTGACAGATGGCCTGTGTGTGTGAAAGTGAGAGAAGGGACTGAATGACACAGACAGATAATGGAACCATTAATTCTGTGGAGTGAAGAGTGCCAGCTGGGTGCAGCTGCGGTGTACAGGCTGGCACACAGAGGGCGATGCATAGAGTTGGAAGGGAGAAAGTGATGAGGTGGAGGAAGAGGAGAAGGAGAAGAGAAAGACAAAGGTGACTGAGAGCATAAAATGGAGAAATGTAATAAATGGAGAGACGGAGCGAGAGAGGAAGTGTGGGAGAGAGTGAGTCTGAGAGAGGAAGAGAGAAACCGTGACAGGGGGATGATGTGGGAGGTAGACAAGGGGCTTTCAGGAGACGATGCGTGAGATGGAGGGCTCTACCTAGCAAATAGCAGATGCTTCCTATATCGAGGAGGGAGACACAATAACCAGCCAGTTGAGGACAATCAGACGGATTAACCCTAACATAATGTTTTTGAGGCTAAAGTGTCCTTCAACCAGGTGTCAGCAGACATTCACCCTGCTGGAGGCCTGGCCACCATTTACACGTTTAGGATTTATTCAACGTTTGTGCCAATATGTTACCAAAATTGAGATATGTTTTGTTTTTATTTAGAATTTAAGTTTATGGTTAAACTGTAAAATACCAGGCCTCAAATACATAATATTTTGTCACATCGGTGTGATAGTGTTAACATCCAAGACGGAATTTCACTGAGCTTTTATTTTTTAGATCCGAGGCCGATTTTTCCAAGGTGTACATTTGTGTACACTTCTAACCAATCTGAATGCATGCAGTTGACAATGGCACATTTTGAAGCTGTAATAGAGCAGTAGATGAACATCCTCCTCCTCTGTCAAGCAACAGGCAACCACACCCCTGTTGAAGAAAATGAATGAACCAAAGGCCAACAACTGGGACTGTTTAAAAACAAGCAGGACCTTCCTCAAATTACATTCTCAAGAAAAACTAGGATCTCAGTGCCAACTGTTGCAGTAGTTCTCCACACTGTCTGACAGACTCTCTCACACATGCACACTGAGCGGGAGGTTCTCTGCACAGACGTATTCACAGCAGCAACAAATCCTCCGCATTATTCAAGCTAGTGAATCCGGCGGATAATCCGGAGCCTCTCGCTCTTGACATTTGTGTTCACACATGCACCTCCTCTAGAGAAAATGTCTTGAATCTCCAGAGTTTTGTGCATATCTGAAAGCATTTAGATCAAAGGTGTAAGTACCATAGTTTTGTTGCCCTTATTACCTGGATACCTGAAATAACAACCCATAAAATCAAAGGTGTTAAGCTGCAAAAATAAAGGTAAAAAAGTTTTTCGTCTCATGTCTGGAAGCTCATACAACGCTTTTAGTTATTTCCTATTAAAAAAATATTTACAAATGGATTTTTGGAATAAATTATACAGAGTTTAATACTCAAAAGGGGATTCTGCTTTATCTGGACCATGTGGATGTGGTTTGACCAGGTTTGATTAAATGTGGGTTGGCAAAATAAGCAAAAAACTCAACACTGACTTTTCTCACATTTAGATTTAAATGTTGCCAAATGGGTGCATGGATATACTGTGTGTCACAACACTGGTTTTCCAGCTTAAAAGTGGGTAAAAACATAAATAGAGTAATTTCTTATGTGGAATTATAATGGTGTGTTCATATAAAGTCACTTTGCTCATAGTACAGAGCTGCACTATAATTCACCAAGAGCATAATGACCTTGAACTTTTACTAATACGATAAGTGATAAAACACAATGCATCTGACTGGCAAGTTGTGGAAATGACCTCAAGTCATTTTCAGTAACTTTAATTTGTGTTGCGTTGTGTTCTGGGAACCACTGAATAATTCTTGCTCCATCATGGAGAGGCAAGGTCAAATATAATAGCCGGGGGAAGAGAAGAACTCTGCCAGGGATGGCAGGAAGACAGAGAGAGAGGGTGGAGAGAGACTTGACGTCTCACTGTGTCAGGATGCAGCCTTGTGTGTGTGTGTGTGTGTGAGTGTGCATGTACGTGTGTATGTGTTAAACTAAAAACAGATTTATCCTGTGCAGTCAGCAAAAATGTGTACAGAGGAAAGTGTGGTGTGTACAGCATTATCACTTACCACTGGTGTTTGTAGAAACAGTACTGGATATGTGTGTACCGGTAAATATCATTGACAAATATATGCATGAGGTGAAAGGGGAAGCAGACAGAGTCGGTATTTATCCTGAGACTTCAGGCGCAGCGCTTGAGACAGTTGCTCTTCTGTGGATGTTTAAAGAGTCAATCCATTATTGAACAGCTTGCTCTATGGCTGCTGCTCTCTTTAACTGTTTGGGTGTTTCTGTGACACTTGTGTCTTATGTGTCTGTCCCCTGTCCATTTGTTTTCTCTCCCCGTGTGTTGGTGTTTTTCTTTGTGTGATCAGGATTTTTTCATTTAAACAACAACCACGGCATTGCTAGCTAGAACCATATGCATACAAATGTAATTGAAATATTATTATTAAGTAGTGTAATTCAATACATTTTAAGATTAAGATTCCTCTATATCTGTCTCGTCTTCTGCCATTGAGCTCCATTTACACATTCACTGTTTGGACTGATGTGCAAAATATGATACTCACATGGAGATGCAGATAGGAGAGGAGTAGATGGGATAAAAGGGGGAGTAAGAGGGGCAACCTGAGAAGAGTGGAGGGCTGGAGAGGAGAAACAGCAGGGATGCTGAAGGACATGTAGGGCAACAGCAAAATGCCACGGGACACTAGAGGGAAAGAGAAATAGATCGACATTGATATGAAAAATCAAAACAGTGAGAGGTGACACTAACAACAGGCCTCCTAACAAATAGCCTGAACCTTTAAAATAAAGACAAATCAATCAATAAAAAACATAAAATGCAGAGAACACAGACAATTGTTTTACAAATGGCCACATTTGTCTGAGAGGGAGCAGTTTCAGATTTCACTTAGCCTTCGGAGATTAAGGTAATCAAATTCACAGTGTCAGCCAAGCATCAGTTTTATAAATCTATTGATTCTGCAAAAGCACACTGCAAATGTTTAAGATATTCTTCTCTGTCTCTTTCATTCTCTCTCCATCTCATTAGCTGAACATATTGGTGGATACAGGAAGCAGTAACTTTGCTGTCGGGGCGGCCGCTCATCCCTTTCTGCGTAGATACTACCATCGCTCACTGTGAGTAGAAACGCATGGATAAGTATACATACAGCCACATCTTGTTTTTTTAAACATGCAAACATCTTGTTTGAATTAAAAAACGATATTTTTTTCCTTCACTATATTCATTTTTATGCAGCATGATCTGCAGATTCTGTTTTTGTGTACCACAAATATTTATCATACAATACTTGCTGATGGTTAATTTGTTTCTACTTTAGTTTTATTATTGA